GCCTTGCCTTAATCCTTTGAGTTCCTGTTGTTAGTATTCTAGGTGTCTAGCACCATGTCAGATGGGTAACAGTAAGAGATGTTGCGCAGGAAGCGGATCTTAGCCATGTCCCATGCACAAGACTCACAGACAAGAGTAGAAATGAGCAGAAAAAATCTTTACTCTTAATAGCAGAGATGAAATACAAACTTGCAATGTTGCATACAAAAAACAAACAGTGCAAGAAACTTACGTAGTCTAACACAAAATAGACTTCATCTTAAGTCAAATGAGAAAGCAAAACATAAACCTTGAGCAAACAGCTATTCCACCATAGCCTCCTTTAGAGCAGTACAACGGCTTCTCTCCAACCTGCTCATCAGAGCAGAGCGTTTGAGCATAAATCTCCTCTGAGGAAAAACTCTCCAGAACTGTATCCTAAAAACCCATACAGTTATACCCTATCGGGTGTGGTCCAAGATTGCTGTTTGACCTACATTACCAGCTACACATAATAATTACCATCATAAGGTTTTTCTTCAGCACACACACACTTGGTTCTGCTACAACTTACTGTAACAGGAGGCGCCGTATTATTCAACATTTTCATTTATCCGACGTTCTGCCAACCTGTTTCTGCCAGATAAGCAAAACTCTTCTGTATTCCCAAGGCTGATCACTGCCATCTTGTGTGTGTCGCACCTCAGAATAGATTCACCTTGCTGAAATCACCAAACTGTACAAGGACTGAAGTCTTTGTAGTTTATTGAAAAATAAAAGATAAATGTTCTTAAAAACAAGTGATATTCTAAAAGATTAGTATAACATAGCACTTTGAAGCATGATTCCAAGAGACACCAACAAGACAAAATCCCATGAGAACATGACAAAGTCCCGAGACCATTGACACAAGAACTACAAGATAATCCTGGCAAACGAGCACAAGCTGCTTGATTGAGCGAAAAGTTGCTCTGATAAAGGTTTGTTTTCAAACACCCTTTGCAACACGTGAAAGCATTTCTTTTGCCTCTGACTCCCTTCTTGTTAGCTATTCTCACACTCCTTCGAACTCTGAATTCCAAATGGTCAGCTCGATCTAAGGTTCTCGTTTCATCAAGGTCAGGCTGCTTGTTAGTGTCAGCTTGGTTGCCTTCCTGAGAACTGTCCTCCTTTTCAGAGTCAATTTACACCTGACTTTGTACCAAAAACATCATTCACTTCTGTGGGAAACTGAACTTGCACACCCAGTTCCTCATTGTCTATAACAGGAACATTTTGAACCTGATTGTGAACCTGAATCCCATCATCCTCATCAGAGTCATTCTGAGACCCCATCTGAGTCACAACACTATCAGTCTGTGGTTCCAGCAGAGTCACAACAGTGTGCTTGTGCTGTCTGTTTTCCCTGACTTGTTATATTTTGTGCATTTATGTGTTATGCTTTATGCATCCTCATGGTCCTGCTAGTTACTGCATGGCTATCAGACACGGCCCCTATGGCTATGGGGATGGTGGTTTCAATTGATATATACCATACTTTGGCCTGAGTAAATGGATACTTAATGGTCGCGTTGCAAAAGAAAAACATATCAGGCTTGTAGAGCAAAATTTTCTCTTTCAGATGATACTATTCACAAGCATATTTTTTAATAATTGTCTTGGAACTTAACTATTTGTGCCAAAAGATCCAAATTTGAAGATACCCTGCTGGGCGGTTATAGATGATGAGTAGTTGCAAATCTGGCAGTTTTATGTCCAGCACAAGCATAATGCTTGGTCAAAATGTCAAGTCCATACCTTTGTTTGGATGGAAATTTTTGCAGTCTGAATATTGGTCAAAATTTGTTGCAACACATTTGATGCACACTTTGAGTCAACTTGTTGGATTGGGTTTTGCATCCATAATATTAAAATTAATTTCATTGGAATCAGCAGAGAAAAACTGCAGGATTTCAATTTACTAGCCATTCTTATACTTTTAATTTCCATTTTATTAGACCCCCAAAATGACATTTTCTTACATGTCATGCACACGCATACTGACTACCCTTCAGATAAGGGGTTCTAGATCAGCAACTATTGCAGTTAGAGACCTCAAATTTTGGGAAACTTAGTTTAACACCTGACTGGCGCTATAGCTAAAATTTGAACAAAATTGGAGACATGATGGTGGGAAGGCATGGAATGACCATGTTCACAAATCAATATATTCTGTCTAGGAATCTATAGGCCCTTCAGCTCAACTCTATGAACAACTTCCACTTTTCCTAAAAATAGCCGTAACATTTTGTGTTGACATTGCTGTGTTTTTGCTGTAAATCTTTTGCCAGAGTGAGGACACTCTCTTGTTAAATACGTTCGAAACAAATGGTCCGCACAGTTGTACATTTGGCAGAGAGAAACGGGAAAATTGTATAACTAACAGTTGTAGAACACACTGATACAAATGCCATACATGGAGAAGTTTTATCAGATCCTGAAAACGCTTAAGGAACAGTTAATAATTGGGTTTGCACGAACGAGGTGCCATCAAGGTAAGAGAGAACCAAGTATGGTTATGCTTTGCAAACCGTAAGGCTCCCCTTGTGTTTGACTGGCCTCAAAGGGTTCAAGGAACGGTTTTCTAGGAAACCTGTGCAAGTCAAAAGGGTGCTCAGTTTGGTTTCAGAAAACAGAAGTAAAAGAAATTGGACAAATTCTACTTCCATCGAAGCTCTGGAGGAAGTAGAAGGCTCTAAATTAGTTACACAAATAAAGCAGAAAGCAGGTCATCAGAAATGCGGATTTGGCCAGGCCTTTACATACATCAATTCTCTTGCAATTTGGTTCTCAGACTTGCAGGAGCCTTCATTGGTTGATTGTCTCTTCAGTGTTTTTTAAGCTCTGGACCTCCTTCGGGGGAAAATATTAGAAATGGGACCCAAATTATCACAGTGACCCATTCACATCCATTGTATTTTGGACTTACTTATAAGATAAAGATGTAAATAAGTAGGTTTCGGCATTTCATGTCTTCAAAACATTGATGATAGTGTGTTGAAAATCAAATATATATACTGTATATACTTGAGTATAAGCCTAGATTTTCAGCCCCTTTTTTAGGCTGAAAAAAGTTCTCTCGGCTTATACTCGAGTCAAGGTCATTTATTATTTTACTCTGCTATTAGTATTATTTTTATTTTTATTACATTTATTATTATTATTATTACATTTACATTATTTTACTCTATTATTACTTTTATTACATTTATTATTTTACTCTATTGTTATTGCATTTACATTATTTTACTGTATTATATTTATTACATTTATTATTTTACTCTATTGTTGTTATTACATTTATTATTTTATTATTATTACTATTATTCAATTTCCATTATTTACTCTATTATTATTTTTATTACATGTTATTACGTTTATTATTTTATTCTGTCATTATAGGTAATAGGTAATAAGCACATTTACATTGAAGGAGGTTAGAGTAATGGTTGAATCAGAGTTGGGAAGTCTTATCTTAAATTACTGTTTTGTGTAAATACTCAAAAACATTTAACCTATTGACGATTACCAGTAGCAGCTACATTTCTCACCCTCGGCTTATACTCGAGACAATACATTTTTCTAGTTTTTTGTGTTAAAATTAGTTCCCTTGGCTTATATTCGGGTAGGCTTATACTTGAGTACATACAGTAGTTTGCTGTGAGTTTTCCGGGCTTTCTGGCCAAGTTCCAGAAGCATTCTCTCCTGACATTTTGCCCACAACTATGGCAGGCATCCTCAGAGGTTGTGAGGGTTTTTGGAAACTAGGCAAGTGAGGCTTATCTATCTGTGGAACTCCAAGTAACCAGCTACTGGTCAAAGGACATTTAATCAACTACCAAGCTTCCAAACTTTGTGTCTTGTTTGTTTGTTTGTTTGTTTAAAATGCAATACAACTGTTTGACTTGCTCCTGACACAATAAATAAATATCTGTGGAATAATGTCCATGGTGGGAGAAAGAGCTCTTGTCTGCTTGAGGCAAGTGTGAATGTTTCAATTGGCCACCTTGATTAGCATTGAATGGCCTTGCAGCTTCAAAGCCTTTCTGGTTGCTGCTTGGGGGATCTGACCCTGTTAGCTGACCCTGAATGCTTCTTGTCTGGAATTCCTCTGTTTTTTGAGTATTGCTCTAAGAAAATCCAACAAAGGATTCCCCCTGGTAGCAACCAGACAGGCTTTGAAGCTGCAAAGCCATTTAATGCTAATCAAGGTGGCCAGTTGCACCAATCACACTTGCCTCATGCAGACAAGAGTTCTTTCTCCCACCCTGGACATTTCACAGATATATAAACATCACTTCACTAGTTTCCTTTTTAAAAAAACTTAATACCATTCATTAATCCGTATTTTCATTTTTCCTTTCCAATATTTTGCAATTAACAATCTAGCTGCTGTTAATAGCATGTCTGTTAAATTTTCCCCCCTCTATCTTTCCCATCCTCTTTTTAAATTAAAAGTAATATTTCTACTGGATTCCTTCTAATTTTTATATCCATAATATTTTCTATTTCCGTTATAACCAATTCCCAAAAATCTTTTACATATTTGCAATCCCACGATTTGACTAGTTTCCAACAGACCTCACAACCTCTGAGGATGCCTGCTATAGATGGGGGTGAAATGTCAGGAAATAATGCTTCTGGAACATGGCCATACAGCCCAGAAAACTCCCAGCCACCCAGTGATCCCGTCCATGAAAACCTCTGACAACAATATATACATAATTTGATCATTCTTGCAGTTTGTTCCTTTAAAAAATATTCAGAAACTTAATAGAGAGAGCATTTTCATGTATAGCTATGCATAATCCTTGAAAATTAAGGATTTCAGAGCTTTTTCCTTTTGCAGAAGTAAATTGGAGAAATGCCTTGCGGTACCTTAAAACACAGATCTGTTTATTGTGTTGTAAGTATTATAAATACATTGATTATGTTGAAAGAATTTTAAAACCATTCTTTTTTGTTTCTATTTTTTATTTTAGCGTTCTGGGTCATGAAACTTAATCCACAGCAAGCTCCACTGTATGTAAGTAGAACTTTTTAAACAAACTACATCCGTTTTGAATGGTAGCCTTTTTGTAGAGACACGAATGTTGCCCAAAATCTATAGTAAGCAGCATGGAGCTGTTAATGTTTTGCATTCCCATTGCTGGTTTCTTGTAGTGTCATTGTAGTAACATTTTAAATACACACACAGAAAAAACAGAATTTTCCTAGTACTTTGATTGAAGTGATTGAAGGCATGCTAGCAACTATAAAGCCTGATAGTTTTAGGACTCGTGAACATGAGATGTGAGGGATGTAGGGCATTATGAATATTTGGGTAAACCTACTGGCAAAAAGCCATTTATATCTTTGTGCACTGATTTGGAATGAACTTTGGTGTGAAGCAACTGTCTCTGTAAAAAGGACTCTGCATCCTTTGGAGTTCATTGTCTTGTTTCCCCATAAGTTTGGACTGTGTAGATGTGGCGGAATTTATTTATCATGTCATCAGCAACCATACCATTGTATTACATTTCTAACAGAACAAAACAAACAAACAGATTAAAAAAATCACACATAGTTCACGTTTTTACCAGTTCACACACTGTCTTGCAGATGATCATTAAAGAATAAAAAGTTTACTCTTTAAAATACAAAGTCACGTGTATACATTCATGTGAACAGTTGCATTGACTCACACAATGTCATCTGAGTTCTTCTCCCCCTTCGGAGGGAGAAGGGCGGGGTATAAATATAGGAAATAAATACATAAATAAATAAATTCAAATGGTCCTTAGGTGTCCACGTGGAAGACCTTCTTCTAGCAGTCCAGAAGCAAAACCCTATCTCTGTAAGCTCCCATACAGCTAAATATGTAATAATAATAATAATAATAATAATACTAATACTTTATTTATACCCCGCCACCATCTCCCCAAGGGAACTTGGGGTGGCTTACATGAGACCACGCCCAACAACACATCAGTAAAAACAAAACAGCAAGCAAATAAAACAGTACAATTAATATAACTTACATGTAAACAATAACACACAGAGTTTAAAACCTTATGGCCAGGCCAGATGTAATAAATTAATTTTTTTAAAAATAAACACTGGGTGTGAACACAGGTAGGATGTATCTAAGCAAGAGGGTTTTAAAAGATAATGTAGGGAGACCAACCCAACAGGTAGTAAAGTGCTTCTGAGGACAATTACAGAAAATTAATCAGAGCAGGGCATTGTTTCCTTATATATGTAACGGTTGCCAAAACTCCCAGGCTCAGCTAGTCGTTCAAGCATAGCCCAACCAATCAGCTTCATGCTTTGCATTTTCAGTTAACACACCCACCAATTGATTTTTACATGCTCTAACAGCATTGTCCTGTTTCCCCATAAGTTTGGACTGTGCAGAAAAGGTGGGTATTTCTACACATACGTCATCCCAGGATGCCCACATTTCAGATGGAGGCACTGTTGGGGAATCGGAGCTGTTAGGCTCAAAATAACCCTCAGTTGGGGTGATTCCACTATAAATATAGCAGAGTACCAGAAGTAAGAGACATCACACTGGCAACGAAGATCCACATAGTCAAAGCAATGGTATTCCCCGTAGTAACCTATGGATGTGAGAGCTGCACCATAAGGAAGGCTGAGCGAAGGAAGATAGATGCTTTTGAACTGTGGTGTTGGAGAAAATTCTGAGAGTGCCTTGGACCGCGAGAAGATCCAACCAGTCCATACTCCAGGAAATAAAGCCCGACTACTCATTGGAGGGAAGGATATTGGAGGCCAAGATGAAGTATTTTGGCCACATAATGAGAAGACAGGAAAGCTTAGAGAAGACAATGATGCTGGGGAAAAAGGAAGGAAAAAGGAAGAGGGACTGACCAAGGGCAAGATGGATGGATGGCATTCTTGAAGTGACTCTGAAGGAGATGGGGGTGGTGATGGCCGACCAGGAGCTCTGACGTGGGCTGGTCCAGGAGGTCACAAAGAGTCGTAAGCGACTGAATGAATCAACAACAACAACACCAGAAGTAAGTTTCCTAACCAGCAGAAACTTACACGTGATGAGCTGGGATAAGCTTCTATCCTTAGGATGGCACAGGATTGCAGAGTCAGAACTTTAGGTTCAAAATATTTCTTGAAGTTAAAGAAATACATTCTTGATAGAAAAGGTATTGGAGCTAACTTGCTTACTAAATCTTCTAAGAAAGGTGAAAGGATAAAAAGTCCATGCAGCTATGTTTTGCCAAGAGAGAGGCAACATGTGCATCCTTATAAATAGAAAGAAGAGTAGAAGAGACTGGAAAATAGTGGAGATGGCATGGTCAACCCCAGGGCAATAAAAATACCTCTGAGAAAGGAAGATCCTTCATGGCATTCCATTGCTTCATCTTCAAAGGGGGAGGAGACAGCAGGAAGGAGGAAGAGTAAAGACAAAGCCCTTTTGGGAAGCTGTTCAGGAGTGGAACTCTCTGCCCCAGAGTGTGGTAGAGGCTCCTTCTTTGGAAGCTTTTAAACAGAGGCTGGATGGCCATCTGTCGGGGGTGCTTTGAATGCAGTTTTCCTGCTTCTTGGCAGGGGGTTGAACTGGATGGCCCATGGGGTCTCTTCCAGCTCTATTATTCTATGATTCTATGCATAGGAATGTGGGAGGATGAATCCCCCAGCCTAATCCTGTCTCTAGTCTAGCTACTCATTGAGGTCTAGAAGCTTGATGACACAAGACAATTGTGCAGTCCAGGGATGAAACCCAACAGACACTCTTCCTGTTCAATCTTCAAGCTTCTTCCAGTGCTCAAATTGTGGGAGTTGTATCCAAAACACCTGGAGGGCCAAAGTTTGCTCATGCCTGAGTTCGTGCTTTTCCTACATCTGTTAAGACATCAACTGCAGTTTGCCAGACCCATGTATGTTATTTAGAGATCAAATTCCTGTGGCTGTAATTCCAAGTCCTGTGGTGGTGGAACACACTTACATTCTCACATGAATTTTTGGACGATAATCCAAAATCCAGCAAGCATCTCGGAGAAATAAAACCCCCACTGAATTTCCACCCAGGCATTTCTACTCCTCATTCAGACCTAGAAATAACAAATTAAAGAATTTATATATTCAAGGGCTTGTGCAGCTAAAGAAATTGCATAGCAAAGGTTACATCATGGAAACATATAAATTCTCTATGTAGGATTTGACGCACATGCACAACATTCCTACAGTACTTTTTGTGGGAAAACATTTGGAAAGCCAAAAAGGATGCACGAGAGATGCTGGCAAGAGGCATGTCTGGGAGAGAGCTCCAGAGTATCTACAAGAAAAGCTTGAGCAACGGGGTTGTTGTAGGTTTTTTTGGGCTGTATGGCCATGTTCTAGAAGCATTCTCTCCTAATATTTCGCCTGCATCTATGGCAGGCATCCTCAGAGATTGTTGGGAATCGTTGCTCTATAAGCTAGCTGCTAACTGTTAGAGAAATAACATTGAACACTGTGAAAGCCACCCACTGCATGGCTATCAGCCTCCTCCCAGTAGACTCAAATCAAGGGAAAGTTTCATGAGAAGTACCACTCCTCTTAATGTTCCTCCAGCAACAACAAGAGCATCCCTCTGGGCAGCCAAACTAGGAAATCCCAACTGGATGGCCCCCCACAAAGATCTTCCTCTGGGGCAAACGTGGAAGTCAATAAACAGACTCAGAAGCAGAGTGAGCAGATCAAAGGACAACCTGGCAGAATGTACAACCTAGAAGAATTCTCCACCTTGTGGGACTGTGCAGCAGAACAAACAAAACTGCACCTGTATACTTGTCCACAATGCCCTGCCTTATGCACAGAGGAAGAATTGGGTTGTTATAGGTTTTTTTCGAGTTGTATGGCCATGGTCTAGAGGCATTCTCTCCTGACGTTTTGCCTGCATCTATGGCAAGCATCCTCACTACCTTGGAGGATGCTTGCCATAGATGCAGGCGAAACGTCAGGAGAGAATGCCTCTAGACCATGGTCATACAGCCCGAAAAAACCTACAACAACCCAGTGATTCCGGCCATGAAAGCCTTCGACAATACAGAGGAGGAATTGCTTAAAACTAAAGACAATGCGGTTGCTGTTGCCCGTTTTTGGTCTAAAATGATTTAGCCTCTTGTGCTCCCTCTAATTTATCAGTTTTATACTTATGTATGCAAGGCCTTTGACACAAAATGATAAATAAAATATACAGAAGTTTATATTTCCAAAAAGATCCTCAGTAGGTAGGTTGATGAGGAAAAATCTCTGTGCCGGCAGGACTGAAGACCTACAGCTCACAGGATTGAATCCGGGGAGAGTGTGGATGAGCTCCCTCTGTCAGCTCCAGCTCCTCATGCGGGGACATGAGAGAAGCCTCCCACAAGGATGATAAAACATCAAAAACATCTGGGCATCCCCTGGACAAAGTCTTTGCAAACGACCAATTCAATCACAGCAGAAGTGACTTGCAGTTTCTCAAGTCACTCCTGACACGGAAAAAAAACCCCCAAAAAAACAAAACTTAAAAAAACTCAATAAATGTGGTGTCTGAGACCATTTGAAATACATTTTCTGAAATAATTTGCTCCTTCCTTCCTCTCTTCCTCTCTTTCTCATAATGTGCCATTGTCAGACTTTGCTGAGAGCAATGCAGTGCCGCCTAGTGACCACTACCGAATACAGACTTTTAACAGTGTTTCTTCTTCTTCCCCCCAAAGTATCCCTCGCTCTTTATTTGTTTTGCTTTGTAGAACTTTAAAGGAACAAAACAAGTTTTTGTTTGCTCTTTTTGGGCTTTTGAGGAAATGATCCCCTTAATTGGGCAACATTATTGCAGAATAAGTGCAAGCATACTGATCACTTTAAATGTATCCAAAAGAAAGAGATCAGGGCCAAATGCAAGATACTCCACTTAGAAAAAATGAAATGCAAAGATATAGATAGGGGATGCTTGGCAGTACGTGTGAAAAAGCTCTTGGAGTTAAACATGAAGCCAATGGGATTTTGGGCTGAATAAATAGGAGTCTGGTGTCTAGA